AGAGAGAGAGAGAGAGAGAGAGAGAGAGAGAGAGAGAGAGAGAGAGAGAGATCTAGTGTTTGAAAAAAAAGAGTAGCTGTCAGTCTCTGGAGGCATTTCTTGTTTTAGCCCAAATGTATTTCCGGGAAAGAGAGGAAAAGGAACAGGCCATCTCCATCACTGATCTTGTGGGTGTCTTCAAGAATAACATCAGCAGCAACAACACCAAGAGGACAGCATAAGCATTTAAGGAATCGCAAATGATTTTTCCCAAGAATTTAGGGGTAACGTTCGAAAGATAAACCCAGGCTTCTGATTTGTAACAAAGAGAGAAACAGAAGGTCATTCTTACCATCATCTATTAAACTTCTTCCATCTTGATCATCTTGTTATAAGTATTCATACGACCTCTAAAGCATGCATTAGAATACCTTTGAGTTTCAATCAGAATACAGAGTACGCACCTAGCTTAACATTATTAATGTTGATGATACTGTTCACTTATATTACGCGTGTGAGTTCGAGCCTGTTTGTGAGTGCAAGCATAGAATTACATCATATGTTTATATTCACGGATGTAAGTGGAAGAGATGATGTGTGATAGAAGAGTGTGTGTGTATATTATGGGTGTGCACACGTGCGTGCATATGTGTGTGTATGTATGTGTTTGTGTGCGCTCGTGTATGCGTGTGTGTGTGTGTGTGTGTGTGTGTGTGTGTGTGTGTGTGTGCGCGCGCGCGCGCGTGTGTGTGTGTGTGTGTACCCGAGGGAACAATGTGCCAGGATATGGACAATAAAGGTGTGTATGTTATCTTATCTTATCTTATCTTATCTTATCAAAATGTAGATCCTCTGCTTTGTACTGATAACAACTGGGTGCGTTTGAGTCTTGGAGGACTCTGCATTATCTCAGTTGCATGCAGTTATGTTTCCAATAGCACACACCTTAACATTATCCCCGTAAGGCCCTTTTTTCCAAAATTTGAACATGATAGCCCAAGACACCGATGGGATAGATGATTTTGCGCTTTGCTGCTGCAACAGTGAGTTTTTTCTCCACGTCTTCGTTTCCCATTTTATTTTGAGCCATTTCTTGAAATCAGAAACACAATAGTTATCCTCCACAATAAATAATCATTTCATCTACTTTGAAAGTTATATTACAGCTCTTTCAACAGCATGTTTTGATGAATTTGTTATTGCACTTATACTACAAGCTCTGCTTCTGTTCAAATAAAAAGAACGACTTGGTTCTGTTACCCTTAAAAGTTAGCATTATATGTCCTCGCAACTTGACAGAAAAATACAACTGTTCAGATAGATAGAGATGTGTTTGAGTGATTTAAATTGGAGTAATCTTCATAATAATTGGGTGTA